CCCTGATCTACATTAACCCCTAAAGCAGTGTTTCTCAACCCTGGTCCTGGGCGCCCCCCAGCACTGCACATTTTGTGTGTCTCCCTAATCAAACACACCTGATTCAACTCATTAGCTCATTAAAAGAAACTCCAGGACCTGAAATAGGTGTGTCAGATAAGGGAGACACAAAATGTGCAGTGTTGGGGGGCGCCCAGGACCAGGGTTGAGAAACACTGCCCTAAAGCAACACCATTACAGTCATCAAAGTACCACTTGTGTAACATTTTAACCTCTTTCAACAATAATTCTCACAGTGATTACCGTCAAACTTCCAAGGTTCCTGTTGGCATGCATATTACCTACCTTTTTTCAGCATCTCACGCCATGAGCACTACATTTTAAAAGGTGCATTCAATATTTTGTTGCTAATTTAAAAAAATTTACGCATTAAGAAATTAACAGTGGTTTTGTAAAGAGTCATCTGAATAGTACACATGCTAAAATGATGTGACCTGCAATGTTTCACTAAATCACTTTTTTTTGGTTAGACAGGTAAGGGAATTAATTATTGTGCAGAGTGCACTCTAAAAAGCACTTGTATTTACAAAAAAATAAAACAATTCAGAGACAATAATGTTCAGTAGTAGAGTGCCTACTACCTTTGTGGTATCGGCACTTAAAAACATTTAGAAAAGTATTGCATATATTAAAGACCTACTGAATGCCACTTTAAAATGAAGCAACAAATAAAAATACTTTTTGACACACAAGACAATTGTTTAGTTTTAAAGCACTGGACCAGTCTAATGAATCTTGGGACATACAGTATGACCGAGTGCATTAAGTGTTCAACTAGCTGGATTTGAAGCATGAACACGTATTGTGACGTAAATGCCCACCTCACTAGTCAGACCCACTGCCCCATGGATCTTAGCGATGTGTCCCAGCAACCAAGGGTTCTTCTGACCCACATTTCTTAGCGTGGACAGGAAGGGAACGAGAGAGGTGGGGCTTGCCTGAGCCACGTTCACCAACACACCCAAAGCAGTGTCACCTAGATCACGGTCACTGACATAACCAATCAATGATGGCACCAAAGACGACAATACCTGAGGAGACAAAAAGATTAGGCCAAACTTAACCCTTATAATGCATTCAAAATATGTTTGGAACTACTGTATATATATAAAACTAAACTTCTAAGAACATAAACCTAAGAAGATTACTGGCATTAACCCCATTGGACTGAATGGAATTGAATTAAATTCCTTTGACTTTATAACTCATGATTGCTCAAAAACAGTCCAAATTTATGAAACCTACATATCAAAACAATATAAGTATCAAACAAAATAAATTCATTTTACTTGCATAAACTTTCACTTTCAGATGAAAAAAGTGATACATTTTTAATGCTGCAAAGGTTTGTCAATAGGTGTACATATTCATGTTTACAAAGTCCCAAAAGTGTGAGATATGGGGAAAAATTTAGATATATTTTACAAATGTTTCTTACACTAATTTAATTTCATAGATAATATAACAAAAAGTATTTTTGACACCGAATGGTACTACATACATACCTGGGTCTAAAATGACCCTAACACAAAATGTGTAGCTTTTTTTTTTATTGTTATATCTCTTAAAAAAATAAAAAATCTGGAATGAATGAAAGAAGTAATAAATAAATAAATAAATGTTTTGAGGGTATTAAAGGGACAGTTCACCCAAAAATAAAAATACTATCATTAATTACTCACCCTCATGTTGTTCCAAACCCGTAAGACCTTTGTTCATCTTCAGAACACAAATTAAGATATTTTTGATGAATTCCGAGAGCTCTCTGACATTCCCATAGACAGCAAGGATCCTTACACGATCAAGGTCCAGAAACATAGTAAGGACATCGTTAAAATAGTCCATGTGACATCAGGGGTTTAACCGTAATTTTTAAGTTACGAGAATAATTTTTGTGCGCAAAGAAAACAAAAATAACGACTTTATTCAACAATTCGTCTCCTCCGCGTCACCCTGGCACCATTTTGGAGAGTATCACGACGTATGCGCATGCTTTGATCTGAACGTAAACAATGTAAGCGTGTGGTGCAGCTGACAGAACTTTCTTTGTGCACAAAAAGTATTTTCGTAGCTTCGAAAAATTACAGTTGAACCCCTGATGTCACATGGATTATTTTAACGACGTTTCTGTTCCTTGATCATGGTAGGATCCTTGCTGTCTATGGGAGGGACAGAGAACTCTCGGAATTAATCAAAAATATCTTCATTTGTGTTCCGAAGATGAACGAAGGTCTTACAGGTTTGGAACAACATGAGGGTGAGTAATTAATGACAGAATTTTCATTTTTGGGTGAACTATCCCCTTAAAGCACTTTTACAGTTCTCTGTGAGGGCACATAAGGACAAGCTATCTGGCCTCTTGACAGTCAGGATGTAATAAAAATAGTAAAGACACCACAAACACACTCATTTGGTCCTGAACTTTTCTTTCATCAGAGGTCCCTTATGGTTGTAATCGTGCTGTGTAAAGAACCACAGCACTCTAGTTGGTTGATTTCAGTGCCGCCCACTCATTAACCAGAGAGCCTGGTTCCTATACGAGTTTGCAGAGAAAAACTAGTGAAGACAGTAACAGGAGAAAAAATGTGGAGCAGAAGGAAACTCGCAATCATCCTCCCGCTATGGACAGTTTATCTAGATCTGTCTGTCTGTTATAGCAAAGCAGTGGTGACCTTCAAAAAGAACAGTGACTCACAGAAGAAAAACAGATCATCAGTGAAATCTTGTGCTGGTTGACATTCATGTCTGACAAACTGCAGTGACGACTAGAGGCAGATGAGCCACATGGGTTACATGAGCTCTTTTCTCCAGCATGAAATGAATCCAACTACACCCTTTTAGCAAGGATGTGCTTAATCCTCTCATTTTTCCTTGTGAAACACTTCACCTTTGAATTGGCAGTGGTTGAGAGGACAAAGAGAGGATCTGGTGGAGCTGGGAGGGCAGCAGACAGGACGTCCTGTGAGAAGCAGGATTCCCAGCCTCTGTCAGGATGTGAAAACCACTGACTAATCTTAATTAATCCCGTTTGCTTCCAAATCGCTGTATAAACTAGCAGCACTGGGACAGAGAGAGTCTGGGGTATCTACTCTCCCACGTGATTTCTGATGTACTATGAAAGAAAGTTATTGGTGTACCTGTCTATTTGTTTATCTGTCAATCCATCCATCTACAAAGAAAGCCTATTATGAATTTCTATGCTAGTCTATGCTGGCAGGTGCTGGTTTAGTGTTGTTCAAGTTGGCAGACTGGAATAGTCACACCGCTCATCAACGGATCCTAGCTGCTGAAGCTGAAATATGACCAGTGACAAGTATTGTTGGTTATGCCAGATAAAATACATTGTATATATAACGTCTGCATGAATACAAATAAAGAATAAAGAATCAGTATTTCTTTAAATTCATGGTTAGCCTATTAATTGAGTGTCACCAGAAAGTACAGAATTTAGTGTGCTTATTCAAAGTATATGCACATAGATTATAAACGTAATGTTAAAATAAAGGGGTTGAAATAAAGTTTTAGTAAAAATAAAAATATTTTGCTACTCTG